AGCAGAGATGCAATCCTAAGGCCACCAAAACGGATCCCCTCAACACCTTGGCTGCGCCTAGAAATTCTGTCCATAAAAGTTATGAACAGAATCAGTGACAAAGGACAACCTTGGCAGAGTCCATCTCTCACCGGGAATAAGCCCGACTTACTGGCAATGTGGACCAGGCTCTGACACCAGTCATACAGGGACCTAACAGCCCGTATCAAAGAGCCCGGTACCCCATACTCCCAGAGTACCCCCCACAGGGTTCCCCGAGGGTTGCGGTTGAACGCCTTCTCCAAGTCCACAAAGCACATGTAGACCGGTTGGGCAAACTCCCACGCACCCTCCAGGACCCTGCTGAGAGTGTAGAGCTGGTGAATCCATCCCACCTTAAATAGAGCAGCACTTCTCTCTAAAAACTTAGCTGATTCAGTTGGACATCCAGATTATTGACAAGTCCAGTCTAGAAATCAGTCCAGGAAGCAAAGATGTAGTCTTCCACACTTCTCTGCTGTTTCTCTGTTTCCCACCCAAAACCACATTGAAACAGTGCCAACTCACCTACGACTTAAATTAAATAAACCAAAAATCAGCTCTAAAAACATTAACCATAAAAATCTTATTAAAATAAACACAACTACTTTACGTAAACAAAATAATAAAATCATTAAATGTGAACTATTGAACATCAGATCTCTTTCCTCTAAATCCCTGTTAGTTAATGAACTGATAACTGATCATCATATTGATTTATTCTGTCTGACAGAAACTTGGCTACAACAAGATTTTGTTAGTATAAATGAGTCTACTCTACCTAATTATTAAAATTTTCATGTTCCTCGAACAACTGGTCGAGGCAGAGGTGTAGCTTCTATTTTTCAGTCGGGACTATTAATTAATACTAAACTAATTAGTAGTTATAATACTTTTGAGTCACTGTCTCTAAGTTTATAACATCCTAAATGGAAATCGGAGCAGCCACTCTCACTAGTTGTTATACATCGTCCACCAGGCTCAGTTCTTGTCTGAATTCTCAGAATTATTAACTGACTTACTACCAGTGGTTAATTTGAGCCGGATCCTGCCGGAACAAGATCCGGGAACTCCCTCATTTTCATTGTGTGCATTCCGGCAACTGTTCAATCGGATCCACCAGCTCATATCTCCTCCCATAAAAGTCTAAAGTCATCGCGCATTTTTATTTTTATTATTTATTAAAAATACAACGAGAGGAGATGTTGTCCATGTCTGTGGTGTGGATGTTACTGCTGCAGCAGGTGCAAAAGCTCGCGCACACGTTGCTGCCAGCAGAGACGCTGACCGCATGTCCCGCAGGCATGAAGTGTCTTCATCCACCTTCAGCTGTGTCTCAGTAACCAAAGAAGCACAAACGAACATTTTAACGGTACAAACCAGCACAAACGTAGCACTAATCACGCATTGTGTTTACTAGAATTTTTGACGTGGGTGGGGCGTCAGCTTCACCTGCTCAGCTGTGCGCCCTGCAGACAGTACACGTTTTACACACAGGAGCATCTCCAGACAGCTCTGCAGAGCACGCACAACTGCCAATGTGTCAGAACTCCTGCATACATTTCAAAGATAATAAATAATAAAGCTTATAGTAAAAAAAAATACGAGGGAAATATTTGGTGTGTGTTATTCACATCACGTTTCAAAATTTGTCAAAATAACAGGATCAAAATGTCAAAAAGACAGTCCAATTTATTATGTAAAATAAATGGATGGACTGTCCTTAGCTGGACAACAGAGAATTGAAGCACCTGAAGGCAGTGGTGATGGAGACTGGAGCAGAACAACACGCAGGACTGAAATCAGCTGAGAGGAGTTCGGGTCGGACATTGAAGTTTGTGTGTGTGTGTGTGTGTG